TCCTTTCAACTTAGATTTTCATTTTAGTTTGTCGATTACTTAAATGAGGATTCGCTAATGCCTGTCTCCTTTTCTGGACTATAATACTGCTATAGTTAATGTCTATCGACCACCTTTCCTGGGCAGCACTTTTCTAATTACATTCTATGAATCATCCTGCTGAATCCACACACATCCCACATCTACATGAGAAAACAGAGGTGTGCAGCATCTGAAAAGCATGCTGAATCCATCAGCAAGAGGCCAGCCAAGTTTGAACATGGAAAATGGCCCTGGTGACCACATGCTGAAAGGCTAGACTGCAGAGCCTTCCCACAAATCCCTGGCTGGGCTGGTTAGTGTTTGTCAGTTTGGGACAAACTAGAGTTACCTGGGAGAAGGGAACCTCGGCTGGGGAATTCCCTTCATCAGCTTCTCCCATGGGCATGCCTGTGGGTGCATCTTTCTTGATTACTGATGGATATCGAAGGGCACAGCCCACTGTGGGCAGTGCCACCTCTGAGCAGGTGGCCCTGAGCTGTTTAAGGAGCAAACTGTGTTCCTCTGCTTCAGTTCCTGCTTTCAGTTCCTGTGATGGCAGCCCTAAATGAGGGACTGTGACCCTCAAGCCAAATAAACCATTTCTTTCCCCCACATTTCTTTAGCACAGCAACAGAAAGACTAATTCACCAGGCCCAGGATAACAGCGTTGAATGAATCTCAGGACTTCAACAAATAGCTTGAACAATAGTGTAAAAGGATAACACCTGATGTGACACTTTGACATCACTAAGTCATCCCCTTTGCATAGCAGGTGCCACTTTTTTTTTTTTTTTAATTTTATAAGCTGTGCTGGCTAGTTTTATGTCCACTTGACACAAGCTAGAGTCACTGGAGAGGAGGAAGCTTCAACTGAGAAAATGCCTCTGAACAGTTGGGCTGTAGACAGGCCTGGAGGGCATTTTGTGAGTGATTGATGGGGGAAGGCCCAGCCCATTGTGGGTGGTGCCTTCCCTGGGCATCCAAGTGGTCCTGGATTCTGGAAGAAAACAGGGTGAGCAAGCTATGGGGAGCAAGCCCATGGCACTCCTCCATGGCCTCTGCATCAGCTCCTGACTCCATATTTCTGCTCTGTTTCAGTTCCTGTCCTGACTTCTTTGATGATGAACAGTGATATGGAAGTGTAAGCTGAATAAATCCTTTCCTCCCCAAGTTGTGTTTGGACATGGTGTTTCATTGCAGCATTCAAAACCCTAAGGAGGACACAAGCTATTTCATTTTTGACTGGTAGATAAGCTGACCCCCAAATTCACAAAGACAAAACAAAGGTCTCCCATTGCTCTAACTCTTCCTGGCAGCTAGAAAAGGTTGATTTTTTTTTCTTTTAGGATTCTAGAAGTATACTGAACCGACACTGTCAAAGAATCAGGGAAAGGATTGATCATAGAGAACATGGAGACTCAGGCAGAAATTACTGTTCCTTGACGTAACCAGAGTCTCTCCCTCTTGGATGATTAGCTCAGTGTCCCCAGGGAAATTGTGCCTTCCTCAATATGTCTGGGGTGACTGGTTGACTGGTCTGGGATTTGAGGGCAGAATTAGCCAATTAGAAGGTTAACGTATAATCGCAGGCACAAGGTGCGATCTTTGCCCGTTTCTGTTTAACTGAATTAGCATTAGCGGGTTATAGATTTTCTGCTTGCAACAATGCCTGCAAATTATTCTGAGCTCCGAGCCTGGATTCTGCAGATGTGCCGCTTAGGATGTCAGCTCTATGATGGCTTCAGAGGCATCAAAGTAGAGCCAGGCCTCCAGACACAAGGACCCTTGCAGGCAGACCTGGGCACACTGCCCGAGGGTAGCCTCCCTCTCACTCTGATCTGAGAAAGATAATGTCAGGGCAGATGGTGACTTCTTCACCCTAGTTTCTCTGAAGTGGCTCAGCCAGGCCACACCACCAACCTCCTGAGATTGATTCTTGCTCCTATTCCTTGAGGTTCAGTGCTTCTCAGAAAGCTGGCATTCAGAGTGGAGCCCCCTGCTCCTCAGCGGCCAACCTTTTGCAAATTGTTTGGAGTTTGCTGATGGGGAAGAGAATTCACTTTCTTCACTGCTGATGTGCCCTGGTTAGGAATTTAAGGTCTGTTTTCAAGTGAGTCCCCTAGGAAGTTGAGTGGGTGCTGTCTATGACATGGACTCTGTTGCCTGCTTTTCAATCACTTCCCCCTAACGGAACTCCTTGCCTGGCCTCAGTGGATGAGGATGATATGACTTGATGTGGGTTGCTGGGGTTGCTGGGGTTGCTGAGATTCTGGGGTTCTGGGGTAGGTTGGTGGGGGGTCCTCTTTTCTGAGGAGAGGGTGGGAGGGTGAGGCCGGAAGGAGAAGAGGAAAGGAGCTATGATCAGGATGTAAAGTGAATATATTTATTAAAAATAAATTTAGAAAAGAACCATCAAAAAAAATTCAAGGTCTGCTTTAAGAGTTCTGTTTCTGTAAGAGCAAGGGCTGAGTCAAAGCTTTGAGTGCAAATCTTCGAAAGACGGGTCTCAGATAGAGATGGAAGGGTGGGGAAAATTGGCCAAGGAGGGAAGGTAGCTTGTGAAAACTGAATTATCAAGTCAGACATCCACCGGTGGTGTACAACTAGAGTGACCCCGAGTAGAAACAGGCGGCACAGGACACACCTTCCAGCTGTCCTGAAGGATGCAGGACTGGGCAGTGTGGACTAACTCCCTTCCTCCTCCATCATGGAAAGGCTGTCGCTGGGGATGTTACGAGTCTAAAGACTCAACGCTGGTAATTTCAGCTCAGATTAGGTGGCCCTTTTCTACTTTCTGGAGAGCTAGCTGAGAAAATGAAAACAAAACCAAGTCTCCTTAGCCGTGGTTTTCAACCTTCCTGAAGATGTGACCCTTTAATACAGTTCCTCCTGCTGTGGTGACCTCCAACCATAGAATTATTTTGTTGCTACTTCATAGCTGTGATTTTGCTACTGTTAGGAATCTTGATGTAAATACATGTCTGATACACAACTGATATGCAACTCTCCCCAATGGGGTCATGACCCACAGGTTGAGAGCTGCTGCTCTATAGCCTAAGCGGGAAGGTCTAAGGGTCAAGACACTTGCCAGAAGACATATCAAGGACAGCTGAACTTATATTCAGACCCCAACTCCACCATCCACCTGTAGATCTTGAGCATAGTTATTTCATTCCTGGAAGCCTAGGTCTTCTGCAATGCACATGCCCATCTCGGGCTGCTGGGAAGACTAGCCCTGATTATGCTCAGAGCAAGCTTAACACAGTACCCGCCGTGTGATAAGGGCTCAAACACGGCAGCTTTGCCTCTGAAGGTGAAGAAGCAGGCCTGTGTGAGTGTGGGAGGTAGACGCCTCATGGAAACAGGTGAGTACCCAGCCAGGTCTCTCTCCTGGAGATGAGAGTCCCCGAGTACAGATCTTTAGTCCGTTTTTATCTAAGTTAGACCTTGTCCCAGAGGACACCACGGACTTTCAAATCCCAAAGTGTGTAAGTGACTTCTAGGGCATTATGAACAAATGTCTGTTAACCCCACGTGGGTCACTCACAGATTCCACCCAGGTCTGGCTTGGAAAGCCAGTGAGAATAATGCGGGCCACTTACAGGAGTGTGCGACACCCAAGAAGAGCATCCCCTTCTTAGCAGTGCTTAATACTTGCATATCCTCAGGATGAGAGACCGCACATACCGTGGGAGCCCTGAAACTGTCCCCCCACTCCCACACACACATGGGTGGGCTTTCTAAGTGTCCCTTGGAGGTAATCATTTTAGCTGTTCTGTTTTCAAAAACACGGCATGGCCATGCCATGCTTGGGGGACAGTGCTTCACCACACTATAGCCCAGCTTTTATTTTTGTGTTTTGTTTTTTTTTTCTTTTTTTTCGGAAAGATGGATGATGTGAAATCTCAAGGACAAAGTGAGGCCTTGGAAAGAATCAAACATTTTATATTCTGGGGCAGCCAACATTTGCAAAAGTGAAAAGAAACTGGTGAAATTAATGATCTCAGCTGCTTATGTTCAGCACTATGGATAGTTGGTGTAAAAATTATTTTTTTATGATAGTTCCTCTTCTATTGTGGCTTGATAAACACCCTGACCAGAAGCAACTTGGGGAGGACAGGATTTATCTGTCTGACCTATCCAGATCACAGCCTATCATCTAGAGGAGCCAAGGCAGGAACTCAAGCAGGAGCAGAGGAGGAGCCATGGAGGAATGCTGCTTCCTGGCTGGCTCCTCAAAGCTTGTTGAGGCGGGACCATCTGCCCCAGAGGCGGTACCACCCACAGCAGGCGGGACCCTCCCACTCCACATTCATCAACAATCAAGACAGTGTCTCACAGACTTCCCCGTGGTGGAGGCAGTCCCTCCACTGAGATTTCTTCTACGTGGGCGACTCTGGTTTGTGTCAAGTTGATAATAATGAAAATGTCCCAGTTTCGGGTCAGCTACATTGTGGGTGTCCGGTGGCTACCTTGCTGCTCATGGTCACTATGGTAACCCAGGGTGAAGCTCCCACAGGCCTTGTAATACTTCTAGAAGTAACTCCAGTGGGAAAGTTCTGCTTTCCCTTCCTCCTCTTTGGGGAATGGCATTGTTCCTTTGCATGTATGAACACGAGGCTGATTTTATCTCAGACGTCACTGGAAATTGACACTTTTTGTAATGAAATTTCACACATGGCGACCACAGTGAGATTCTTAGCAGGTGTAAAACTCTTACGACATTATTTCTTTAACTTCAACTTAATGGAAGCCGCAGCAGCTGTTCCTGGTTTTTGCATCTTCCAAAAAATCTCATTGCCAAAAAATGAGCTGTTGGCAGCCATGAGAGGCGCATCAACTTGCCTCTTCGCTTGGAGGAAAATGAAATTAAAACCTCAGCTCATTTCTAAAAGTTGTAGATTTGGTTAAGGGGAAGGAAAAGTTAGCAGGCAAACATGCTAGCTGCTGTTAAAATATTGATGACTTCCTTCCCTCAGGTGCTCCTGGGAACATCTGCAGATGATTTGGACTGCACGCCTGGATTCCAGCAGAAAGTGTTACACATCCGCCAGCCCGTGGCATTCATAGAGGACCAGCCCGTCCTAAACTGTAAGCCATTCCACAATGGTTCAGGCCCACTCACGTGGGCTTCCCTGCTGTTTGTGACATATCTCAGGACGTTGGGTCTTCTCCTGTTTTCTGGTCACATTTCTTATGTTACTGCTTGGCCCTGGGCGGGTGCTTTCAAATGACAGACTTGCCGGCTTGCAGATTAATATAGTTCTTCTCAGTTCTCAGTCTTTTATCTCCAACAGGCCCTGCTGACCCACACCCAGAAAAGGGGGACTGCCAGCCTCTAGGGTGATTCTGCACTATGTGGAGGGAATGAAATCCATTTTCACAGGGCAGACCCAAGAGTAAAACCATCGCCTTCTTATAGATTGCTGTTCTACCTGCCATTTCTCACGTATACCATTAGATCAAAATAACGGTGAGGGCAGAGTATTGGCAGCTGGGAATTTGTAGCCATAGGAATCAAAAACTCTTGTTCTCAAGGCTGATAAGATGGTCTTGAAACAGATTCAAATCTTTTCTGCTGCTTCTGTGGATTAAACTCAAATTCCCCAAATTCCAATTGATTTCCCGAAAATGTGCATCTCTTAGATCTGGTTCTGATCTTTCACTGTACTTAACACCGATATTGTATTACTTTACCTTTAAGAGAACAAAAACATAGAGATAAATGCCTAGCAGGTGCAGGTTTTACACAAGAGAGCTGGAAATTGGTGGTAGACCTAGCCCATTTATTATCAACTTTTGAGCACCATTCTTTAAACATTTGTAAAGATTTATTTTTTTTAATCACATATATTTGTGTGTGTGTGTGTGTGTGTGTGTGTGTGTACATGAGTGCAGTTGCCTGAAAGGCTAGAAGAAAGCATTCAAACTCCTGGAATGGAGTTACATATGGCTGTGAGCTGCCCTTTATGGATGCTGGGGACTGAGCTCTGGCCCTCTGTAAGAGCAGTCAGTGCTCTCTATTGCTGAGCCATCTCTCCAGAACTCCAGTCTTTGAGAGGATATGCAAGCAGTGACCCGAGGGCACCTTTGAAGAGGGTGATCGCATGTGTGTTTGCCCTTATGGACTTAGGGTAGCCTTTTGTGCTAGGCCCAAACCTTCATTTCTGTGGTATATCACTGATATGAGTAAAGAAAAGAAAACAGCTCGATGGTCGGAATATTCTGGAGGCTGGTACCTGTTATAAGAGTTGAAAGGAACACAAGCATGAAGTTGGGATGCTGAGCATCAGGGTCTCCAATGTGGAGCCTGGGAACACCTGACACAATTACATTAATGAGATCATCTGACCAATTAGAGTCTAATGACAATGTACAAAGGAAGTGAATCCCAATGTACAACTTCCTAGTAACTGTATTTCTGAGTGTGATTCCGGGGTCAGGCCAGTGAGGGGAACACTCAATTGTTCTTTAATGTCTTCTCTGATAGAAATCAATATATTTCAAGTAGAACTTGATTGATGACAAATATTCTGGCTCTCCTCTTCCCTCAGCTCTGTGTCTGACTGTGTGTCTTCTCTGTCTCTGTCTCTTGCTTTCCTTTTTTGCTTGTTCCAAGTGATTGTCTCAAATGACATGGATGTTAACATGTTGGGAAATGCAAAGCCACCCTCTATATGGAAATTAATAGAGCTGCTATGCAAAGCGGGCCCATAAATGTGATTGCTTCTATAATCTTCATGACACCAAACAGCTTTCAATTCACCACCAAGAAGCTGGGAACAATTATAGTTTAGGGGGTGTTTTTAATTTAAACTGCAACATACTGTACCTTCCAACATCGAAGGTATTGTGTGTATATGTGGTGAGTATGTGTGTGTGTGCGTTGTCTTAATCCCCTAAGTAATTAACTTGGTTATGGCCCTTGCTCCTGTGTAAGCTGCTAAATGCTAAATGAGACTAGGCTTATTATCTATAACAACACACTCAGGGAAATCCAGTGATACAAGAATCAATCACAATTAAAAATGTTATGTTTGTGCATGAGATGTTGGGTCAGCAAAATCTAATTAGCCCTTTTGGTGAAACTGCTGGCCGATGTCTGGTACTAGAACAAAACATAAAGATCAAAACTGGTTACGCACTTGTAAATTCATCTCAAGGCGACAACAAATAGAGTTTGTTCTGTGACTAGCCTGTGGATGAGGTTAACTCTATCTAGGTTGGGAATAAATTTTATGGAGACTAGAGAATGCCTGTTGAAAACTGTTTAGAAAAACCTGAGTCTGCAAAAGGAGCGATGTCTGGTCTATTACAGTCATAAAGAGGAAGTCAAAGCTTATCCATGGAAATATCCATTTAATATTTTTACTGCTAGTTTTCCAGACACTTATTCCCCAACTCTTTCTTCTTTTTACTCCTTGTCAGTTTTTTTTTTTTCTGTCCAATTTTAAAGAGTGCAGATGCCCACTGAGACTGAAAAGGGTATCAGATCCTCTGGAGGAGAGGTTCTGAACCTTCCTAACATTGAGGCCCTTTAATGCAGTTCCTTATGTGTGATGACTCCCAACCATAAAGGTATTTCTGTTGTTACTTCATAAATGTGATTTTGCTACTGTTATGAATAGTAATGCCAATATCTGAGCTTTCCGATGGTATTAGTTGATTTCTTTAAAAGGGTCACTGGAACTCTGAAAGAGTTGCCACCCACAGATTGAGAACCACTGAAGAGGGACATCATCAGAACCCATGAGCCACCTGATGCGGATGCTTGGAACCAAACTCAGGTTTTGGGGGAGAGTAGAATGTGCTCTTAACCCCTGAATCATCTCTCTGACGTCTTCTGTGCATCTCAGAAGATTCAACACAAACCTTTTTGTCTCTGAAAAAGTGTAAAGTACCAATTCTGAGAGGTGTATGTGCAGGCTCAAACTAACTTCTAGATGATAAATGGGAAAAAAAAATTGAACAGAGCCAGAAAGTTAAAAAAAAAAAAGCTTGGATATTTGAATTTATGTTTTAGAATAAATGAAGTAGTGTGAAATGTTCCAGAGATGTAGACATAGAAGCTGTTGTTTTATAGATGCTGGGGGTAGGTAGGGGACATGATCCTGGGCCTGTTCTTGACATCTGCACTTTGGATACCTTCTTGGATGCCTGAGGACCTGGGATCATACCCAAGATCCATAGAGTAGGAGGAAACTGACTCCTGCAAATTTTCCTCTGACTTTCACACACGTGCAATATTGTATGCATACACACACACACACACACACACACACACACACAGAAATGATGATGATGATGATGATGGTGATGATCATGATAAATGAAAAGCAATTTTAAAGAGTAAAGAAATTTGGTTATAAGTCCTTGTGAATTTTTATGTTACAAAGGCAGAGGCGCAGCATAATCCATTAATCGATTGCGCACTAGTATTGTACAAAGTTGTCTAAAAATGCTGGACTTTACCTGATGGGCAAAGCTCATCTGCTCATATCCGAGGCTTGCATTCAACCACTCAGCTTTCTGGGGTTCCGGGGAGTGTTTATTCTGTTCCAGGATTCCTGCTCTTTTTGTTCTGACAGTACCATTTCCTTTTATCCTTTTTCATCTTCTTCCTTGCTTCCTGGTGAATTGCCTTTTTCTGCTTTAACCGGTACTAATGGTCACCCCACTCCTTTTATTTCCCTAATATTTTATTCACTGCTCACTCCAATACATCTTCCCTTCAGTTGTTCTAAAGCCTTTTATTTCCTTCACATCCAAATAACCCTTTATTCTACTCCCCTTACTGCTAACTAGACTTGCTTTCTTCTTTAAAGGGCCATTTTTCAACAAGCTGCTGGGATCAAAACATGGCATCCCATTCTCTCCTCTAATGTACGCAGCAGTATTCCTTTACTGTATCTTTCTGAGTGCAATGCAAAGCCCACAACTCATCATGACTTGGCCAAAACTTTTTGGTTTCATCTTAGTCTTGGAAGAAGGATTATTTCCAGTGTCCAGTGAGAAGTACAAGGAAAGGGGAAAATAGTTGGACAGTAGTTCACTGGAGTGACGGCCCAGGTACCTAACCAGGATGGGAAACACCAAGTTACCAATTGAAGCATCCTGCCTTGTTCACACCAGCTCGGACAGATCTTCCTGACCCCATAAAAATCTGTGGTCATAGAGTTCCCTAGGGAAACCATGTTTGTGATTCCCCCAGCCTCTGCCGGTAGGTATGTCCAGCATCCAGTGTCCAGAATGGACACCCAGTTGGCTACCCAGCCACTACCAAGCCTGTATTCTTCTTTATCCATTCTTTATTGTTCATGTCTCCTAGCATCTGCACACATGTACCAAATGCAAAGATGCACAGAACGATTACCACATCAAAGTGTACCTACAATTCAATGTGTAGTTGCACTTTTAATCAAGAACCTGCATCCCCAGAAGAAAAGGCTATGCCCAAGGCTGAGGTATTGAGTGACCTAGTGACATCACACAGTGAATTTTTATTTCTAACCCTATCATGTAGATGCAGGTCAGAGTGACCTAGGTGACTCTCCTTCCAGTCTGATGGTCAAGACTGGAGGTCAAGAAAGAGTTCAGGGAAGTATATTACCCAAGATTTCTAACTATCTCAGATTGAAAGTAATGTGTGCCATTTCTACTCTGATAGGTCAGCAGACATGGTCATCTAGCCAGCTTAGCTGCAAGGGAGGCTGAGAGCCATCACTATGCAGATGCTAACAAGATGGTATTATTCCATTAAAAAAAAAACTGATAAAATAGACCACAGAGGAGGCAACTTTCTCAGGGGAAAGCAGAGACCCTGGAGAATATTTGATCCATTTAAGAAGGAAATCAAGGGCAATGCACCTGCTGTTCTTAGCAGAAGCACTTTCCACTTAGCAATCTGTCTCTCTCACTCCTTCTTGTAAATATACAAGGAAAAACCCTTCCTTCTTGAGGGTCGAGACAGAGATGGGCTCCAGGATACACCGTGGTTAAGATCACATAGTTTAAAGCTCACAGTGACAATGCACTAATGGCCCAGGCAGTGATGCACAGTTGTGTTACCATGAGTGAGTTCTTTGAGTCCT